AAAAAAAAAATGACAGCTCTCAGTTTTGTTCTCAATCATTCAATTAAATGTACTAGATGGTTTAGCCACATTATTCAAATGTGCATTGCAAAAAAGAAATTTTGCAATGCACCTAAACAAACACAAATAGACCATCTTAATATTACCTTTTAAAGTTGGGTTAAATAATAAACATTTACCTTGGGAATACCTAGCACTGAATTCTAAGAACTGTGAAAGATATAAGTAAATATATTAAGCGCCCTTGAGGGCAGAAATTTTTCTGTCTTTGCCTACTGCTTTATCCCAGCACTTGGAATGGTGCTTGATCAATAAATATTTATATAAAAAAAAATAAGTAAGTAAGATATAAGCCCTTCCTTGGAGAGTCACAATTTAGTTAGAAAGATATATGCATAATAATTTAACATTACAAGGGAACATACAACTAGTTCAATTAGATGGTGCTGTGAGAGTTTTTAGAGCAGAAAAATCAGTTCCAAATTATACTTATTTTTCTTGTATAATTACTCAGTTCTTTTCTTTTAGTTCTCAATATATTTATGCTAGTTCAAGCCCTTATCTCATTATGCCCCCAGTATTACAAGGATTGGATTATCATTGCTCCCAGAGGAAGATTTTTGCATTTCAGCTTCTACAAATTTGGTTACACATTCTCCTTATCTAAAATGTGCTTCACCTTCTAGAAGCCTGCCCTGAACTACAAAAGAAAGAGATAAGTCAGGAAACAGAAGGAAATTTTAAGAACAAATCTAATCTGAAACCTCACAGATATTCAAGAAGATATCACAATCATAAAGGCAGAACATGCTTCTATGAGAAAAGAGAACAAGAAAGAGCTGTAGACAACTGAAGTTATGATTGTCTCTCTCTCCCTATTTTTTAATATACTGTCAAAAGATTAGGATAAGGTTACCTCCCAGGACCACTGCCAAGAAGACAACAGGGTGGAAAACAGACAATATAAGAGAGAATTCTAGAAAAACAGACTCAATCCAAGAGATCTAATATTCATTCAGAAATAGGGAGGAAATAATCCAAAAAGTATTAGCAGGAAATTTCTCAGAGCTGAAGAGTGACACAAACTAAAAGGGCTTACACCAAGTATTCTAAGCAAAATGAACAAAAAACTACCTACAATTCAGTGTATGCTTGTGAAATTTCAGAATATCAAGAATAAGAAAATCCTAAACGTTTCAGAAAAAAATCTTCCTAGTCCTTTACAAAGGAATGAGAATCAGACTAGAATCAGATATGAGTAAAACTTGATAACATCAACTAAGGGAAATATATGCTTACTAATTAGAGCAGCACTGTTCAACAGAAATATAATGTGAGCAACAAATGTAAGCCACATGTATAATTTAAAATTTTCTAACAGCCATTCTTAAAAAAGTAAAAAGAAACAGGTAAAATTAATTTCAATAATATATCTTATTTAAGTAAATATATCCAAATTAGCATCATTTCAACATGTAATCAATATAAAATTTATTGAGATATCTTACATTTTTATACTAAGTTTTCAAACTCTGGTATTTTAAAATTATAGCACATCTCAATTCAAACTAGCCACATTTTTTTGTGTGTTTGTGAGGAAGACCAGCCCTGAGCTAACATCCAATGCCAATCCTTTTTGTTTTTGCTGAGGAAGATTGGCCCTGGGCTAACATTTGTGCCCATGTTCCTCTACTTTATATGGGACGCCGCCACAGCATGGCTTGACAAGTGGTGCATCAGTGTGCCCCTGGGATCCGAACCTGCAAACCCCAGGCTGCTGAAGAGGAACACGCGCACTTAACTGCTGCACCACTGCGCCGGCCCCCAAACTAGCCACATTTTAAGTTATTAGGGTAATACGCAAAAGAACTCAAAAGTTAACTTAAAATTTTAAAAGTGACTGCTTCTGTGATATGAACTGGGGGCGTGGAGAAGATAGAACAGATTTATGTTTTTCATTGAATGCTCTTTATTGTAGTTTGGAAAATATTTTACTATGTGCATTTGCAAAAAAAGGAGGGGCATTAAAGGGCAGCTTGGCATGTACTGAGAATTCCTGTCATTTATAAACAAATACAGATATAAAATAGGCCAAGAGATTCATAATTTTAAGTAGGAAGAAATGATTATTTCATCTTGTTATATTTTCATTTCTTTACCTGTAAAATGAAACAGATGGTTAGATTAGATCAGTTCTTAACACGGTTAGGGGTGGAGTGTGGGAAATGTGGATGTATGAAATAATTCAAGCTATCCTTACTATTCCTCTAGAGATTCCAACAGGCCTAATTATTATGGGTGGGGCGGGGAGGACGGGGGGCAGGGACACAGTATGGAGAATGAGAGGAGAAAACACAGCATGTGTAGTTTGAACATGATTCTTTGGTGACTCCATATGACAGGGTTCCCTTCCATTTCTCCACCCTCAAACTCTTTGGGTCCCAGCTTAGAAACACTGGATGTTATGCTGTTTTCCCTAGGGTGCTTTCTATGATTCTTAGACTTTTCTTCCAAGAACTTTCACAATCATTCAATGCTCATAGGGTGAATGTACACACTATCTTCCTCGTTTTACTAATGAGAAAGCTGATGTTCAGAAGGATTAAATGATTGTTTTCTGATTTTCAAAGTCTAACAATCTTTTAATTGTGGCAGTTGACTCTCTTCTTGAGTCCACACCAAAAATAAAGTGCAGAAATACTGTAAGAATAGTCTCAGCTTAAGCCTCAGAGGGAACATTTAAAAGGATATTTGTTTTAAAGACCAAAGCAACTCAATTTTGTCAAAAGACAAAAGTACAACTGAATCAAATATATCATTTCAAGATCTATAAATTAGAGCTTAGGTAAATGGAAACTGAACAATTTTAGTTGAGAAGTCCCAGCTATCTCTCAAAAAGTTAGAGATTCATTTTCCAGTCTAATACTTAAATTTACCCTAAAAATTTATTAAAATGATTATATTTTTCAGCAATGCAAGCTAATATAAGCCAGCAAAAGAAAGTATAGTTCTAGTTCATCAGACATGAGATACTGTAGTTACTTGGTTTTATCTTTTGTCTTAATAATCACTGTAATAAGTTACTATTTATTGAGCATTTTTTGGATGTACTGTAATATGTGCTTTACATATATCATTTAATTTTCATAACCCTACAAATTAGTTGCTATTGTTATCCTAATTTTACAAATGAGAAAATTAAGATTTAGAGATATTCAATAATTTGCCTAAGATCACATAGCTACTTTTCTACTTTCTCCCAATTATCTTCAAAGATTCTGTTAACTTCTTCAATGGTTATTCTGTTTCCTAAATATATGTACTTCTTAGAATTTCCTCCCTGGTTACCACCTCTTCTCACTTTATGTTGTTTGTCTTCAGCAATTTCATTACAGATTCAAGATGCCTGGTAAACCCAGAATAAGATAAATCAAAAAAAAAAAAAAAATCAAACTGCTGAAAACCAAAGGCAAAGAAAAATATCTTTGAAGCAGCCAGTTTAAGTGCTGAAAGAAAAGAACTTCAACCCAGAGTTCTTTATCTAGTGAAAATATTCTTCAAGAATGAAGACAAAATAAAAATGTTCTCAGATGAAGGAGAAAGCTTAGAGAATTCATCACCAGCAGACCTGCTCTAAAACATATTAATAATTACATTAAATGTAAATCATCTAAACATTAATTAAAAGGTATAAATTGGGGCTGGCTCCATGGCCTAGTGGTTAAGCTCAGCATACTCCACTTCCACAGCCCAGGTTCACAGGTTCAGATCGCAGGCGCAGACCTACACCATTGTCAGCCATGCTGTGGTGGTGACCCACATATAAACTAGAAGAAGATTGGCACAGATGTTACCTCAAACAAAGAAAGAAGACGACTGGCAAAAGATGTTAGCTCAGGGTGAATCTTCCTCAAAACAAAAAAAAGGTAGAAACTGACATATTGGATAAAAAACAAGATCCAACTTGCTGTCCATAAGAAACTCATTTTAAATATAATGATATAGGTAGGTTAAAGTAATAGGAATGGAAAAAGATATATCATGAAAAACTAATCAAAAGAAAGAGTGGCTACATAAATATTAGACTATGTAGACTTCAGAGCAATTGATAAAGAAGATATGGTGTGTATATATATATATACACAATGGAATACTACTCAGCCATAAAAAAGACAAAATCATGCCATTTGGGACAACATGGATGGACCTTGAGGGTACTAAACTAAGCGAAATAAGTCAGACAAAGAAAGACAAATACCATATGATTTCACTCACATGTGGAAGATAAACAAACACACAGATAAGAACAGATTGGTGATTACCACAGAGGAAGGCAGTGGGGGCAGGGTGAAAGGCATAAAGGGGCACATATGTATGGTGACGGATAAAAACTAGACTATTGGTGGTGAACACAATGCAGTCTTTTCAGAAGCTGAAATATAATAATATACATCTGAAATTTACACAATGTTATAAATTAATGTGATCTCAATAAAATAATTTAAAAACAGAAAAGTGAGCAGAGAAGATAAACAGGCAATTCATAGAAACAGCAATGCAAATAGCCAGTAAACATTCAGAGACAATAGCCTCACTAGTTGCTAGTAAAATGCAAAATAAAACCACAAAGATAATAATTCATTCCTATCAGTTTGCTAAAAATTTAAGTCTGACAACACCAAGTGTTAACAGGGATGCAGAGGAGGAAACTCATACATTCTTGGAGAGAAT